TTCCCTGGGAGCTGCTGCCTCGCAAGAGTGAGGACGGTGGCAGCCAGACCGGTGCTATCTTAGCTCTTTTTAAGATCTTGGCAGTCGCTGAGCTTTTACTGGCATGCTTAACCTGCAGCTAGGAGAAGAAAAGGAGGGTTTGGTGCTATAGGCTTGGGAAGCAGCTCACCCCGCTCTAACACCTCCTGCAGCTCTGCTGCTGCTGTTTCTTTCCATCCCAAGATGCTTCCCAGCTCCGGGCCGGGAATGGTCCCTACGTGTACTCGGGCTTGGCCACACGTGCAGGAAAGCGTTATCTTTCCTTTCCAGAACGCATGGCATTTGCTGTGCCATCGGTAAAGAGAGGGAATGTGGCGCACGCTGCGGTGGAAATTCCCAGAGCTGAATTTGGGTGCCCGGTTCAAGCCCCCCCTGCCACTCCCCGAGCCAGGGGTGAGGCCGGGCATTGGGAAAAACGCTCTGATTTCGGCTCCCAGCCCTACCCCAGCCCAGTGGAAATTTTGCCCGCGTTGAGAATTCAGCTCACAGCCCGGGCTCCTTCGGTTCCTGGCACCGGCGGCGGCGCTTTCCTCGCCAGAGATTGTGAGCAGGGAACATCCATGGCATGGAAATGAAGGCGCTGAAGCCAGCCCTTTATCAACGGTGCCGGCGGAGACGCGGCCCACGTGGCTCTGGAGTAACCCGCCGGGACCGTATCGCTCTAAAAGCCTCCTCAACGGGGGGTTTCTAAAGCATTCCCAGGTCCGTCCACCTCCTAACGGCACCGCCGCTCGCCGGGGGCCGAAATGCAGCCCCGTCCCCACGCATCGACCGCAGGTCCCGACGCGAGGGAGAAGCCGAAAGGGAACTTACTGCGCTCAGCTGGGTCTCATTCTGTCCCCTGCGCCAGGCACCACCAGGGCTCTGCCAACTGACAGGCAGCTTAAATATTGCCAGAGAATGGGGCTTTGCCAGCCGAGCCGTTAGCGGTGTCACAAGGAGCGTGAAGGGAGATTTCTAGTCAAAGTTAAACTAATGGCCCCAAGTTACCCTTTCGGTCTCCCGTGGGTCTGGGGAGCAGCGTATGATTTTTCCCTATCAGGGCTGACGGGTCAAACTCCACGGAGCGCCGTGCTCCGGAGTGATCTGCACAGCTGAAGAAGAGGCGAGCGGCAATAAAAATGATGGGTGCTGATGTGCCCCGGGCTGACAGCAACACGGGGAGCCCGTCCTGCAACCAGTGCATGCCCAAGGCTTATGGAGAGCAGAGAGTGTCGTGAACTGGGGCTCACAGCTGGGTCTGTGCGTTAATCCCCAAATTGGGTCTGTGTCTGGTGGCTTTGGCTTCAGCATCCTCAGGATGAGAAACACTTGTGGCCAAATAACTCACGGAAAATGATGCTGAAGGCACCTTCCAGCTGCAGGCAGCCACCCTTCCACCAGCCCGATTGGTGGAGTCATCAACCCGAATTTTGCTGTACAGGATCCCCTCAGGGTGGGTTTTCCTGGTGTGAGCAGCGCCTCTGAGCGCAGGAGCTGCTTTTGTCCCTCTCTCATTACTCCTTTATTGCTGCAACTTTACAGGGCTTTTACCAAAGGAGTGGTGAAACTTTCACCCCTTCCCTGCTGCTGGGTTGAGAAATTCAGCTCTCACCTTCACTTCTGAGTTTTCTGGAGGCAAGTTAAATATGTTCAATTAAAAAAACCAGTCTAAGAAACCAGAAAGCAAAGGAGGAAAAGCCTCGTATCCGTGTTTTATCTCTTTGTTTCACATTTGGCTCACAGCTCGTGTCGGCGTAACTAAAGCTCTTTGAGCATTGTGACTGGTTACGCTTTAATTGAATCTGCTAGAACTGGGAAAACCCAGCATTTCCTAAATTGTGTTACAACAACGCAGCCCTCGAGGGCTTCAAATCCAGCACCCAGGGGCCTCGTGCTGCCTACCTGTGTGTCTCTTCAGCATCCTTCATGGCACCTGGAAAATGATTGCAGATCGTGGCCCTGCAAGCCATTATGAGGATACAGAGAGAGGGTTCATTTATGGTTCCAGTTGGGCTTGGAGATGCCAGCCCAGTTACTGGTTTATCCCAACCAGTCCCCCAGCGGGAGCTGTGATCCTGTGAATTTACTAATTTACCATTCATTTTCTCTTTAAGGTCTTTTTTTCCCCAGTTTCTTGCAGGAAAGGGTGAAAATCCTTCAATAACCCAGGATTTGAAAGGTGACCCGGCGTTGTCAGCGTCCCCTGTCCCTTTGGGGATGGAGGTGGCACCGTGCACCGCGGCTGCGTTCCCCACACTGACCCTGCTGCCTGAGCTGTGGTTTCCTTCCCCAGGACGTTCCTGCGAGGAGGATCCCCGGCTGCCGCAGGAATTGTGCTCGGGCTGGGCCGTACGGGGCTGACAGCCCAGTGATTTTGGGGGAAAATTACCTAAAAGTGGCGCTTTCCAAGAAGCAGCAACACAAGGTGCGCAGTGGCTGCATATGCAAAGGCTCCGGGTCGTGGTTTCTGTGCTGGTTTATGGACCTCAGCCCCGGCTGCGCTGGACCATGCGAGGTTTGGGCAGCCTGGTTTGATCATCCATGGGGGCTGACGAAGCATCAGGAGGGGTCCGAGCGCTTTAAATGCAGGTGCCCAGCGAGACACGCGATATAACACACGATCATCGGGGTTCTGCTAACTCCGTTTACAGTCGCCGGTGCCGTGGCCTCCAGGAAGGAGCCAGCGCTGGAACGGGGCTAGACCACAACCAGGAAATCTGATAGCAGCCGGTCCCTATCTGCCTGCTGGTAAAGGGAGATAAATTGGTGTAAAGGGAGATAAATCGCTCCGGGGAGGTAAACTCAACCTCAGCCAAGAATTCCTTTGCAGAGGGAAACGATTCGCTGGCTCGATGGTTTCTTCTGAAGGCTGCAGGACAAAAATCCATACTATTTTAAGAATTTGCTGCCCGTCTTCGTGATGCTGACCTGGACACCGGCACGCACGCAGCGTTCCCGATTATGCAGGTATTGTCCCCGTACCAGCCCAAAACCAGCAAGGCCGGATCCCGCGTCCCTCTCCTTTATTAAGAATTCTTGAGGAGGCCAATATTAAGAAGCGCAGATGTGGAATTCCTCGCCCCTTCCCTGTAACTGTCATGCAGAGCTGGTTGTGACAGAACACAGAGGTGCACGCAGGCAGGAGGCAGAAGGCAGCAGCTTTATTTAAGGAATAGCACAAAGGCATTGGGTAGAGACCGAATTGTGACTACGCATAGTCCCGTTATCAAACAGTAGAACCATAACCAGGTCAGAAGTTCTGGTCCTTTGAAAATATTCACGTAAAAATACCAAAGGGATCGGAGTCCTAACTAATTCGGAAAGTTACAGCACGTAGCAAAATCTATGTACAGCGTTTTTTTCACGTTTCGAAAGAACCTCCAGTGCTTTAAATATCGAATACGTCTTTAGAAAACAGCAACCAAAAAAAAAAAGAAAAAATAAATAACCGAACGCAAAGTGCAACACCCAAAATGGCAACGGGGCCGAGCGGGCATCGCCCCGTGAGCGCCGGACGGGACCGGACCTCTGGGAACACAACGCGAGGAGCTACCTGGCACTTAAAGCTGTATAAACCGAGAGCACGTGGAAAATACACATCACGTTCTACAGCGGGGTTTAAAACAAATACCGAAAAGTGAAGGTTTGGTGGTCGTAAGGTCTCCCGTAAATAATGCACCGGTCGGTGATGCTGTGCTGGAGCAGAGGTGGGAGCGATGGACGGGAGGAAGGCGCCTCTGGGGTGGGATGCGGGGATGTGGCGGGGTCAAAAGGCATCGGACGCGTTTTGCACGGAGGAGCGCGAGTTAACGCGCTGTGGGTCTGCTGCCGGAAAGCTCTGGAGGTGCATGCACTGCCCGCGGGATGCTGCTAGCCCTTTGGTCCCGGGGCCATCCGGGAGCTGATTAAATAATTACCAGGCGTTGTTGAGAGGTGGACGGGCACGCTTCGGGGGTTCCCTGGGGATGTTCAGCACGAACGACTCAAATCACACATTAAAGGGGCTCTCGGGACGCCAGCCCCTTGGTGAATAGCGCAGGGCAGGAGATGCACATCTCGCTGGTCCCTGCTGGTACCCAGGGTGGCACAGGTCTCCCCCTCGTTTTTAGGTACCAGGGGTTCTGTACTTTCCAAGGAGGCACCGGAACGCTCAGGGATTTACGTCTCCTGGCAAGTTCACGTAAGTCTCGTGCTGATGGCGTTAAACTCTCGGGAAGATTTGGAGACCCGTCAGTCTCCACCACTCCTTTAATCAAAGCTGGCGGCCAGGGAGAGCCCTGGGCTTTCCTCGCTGTCCAGCACAGCTGGGTCAGACCAGACTGGATCCCTATTTGGGACCACGGGGAGGTGCCAGAAGGGCTCTGCAGGGTCACATCGCTTCCCATTGCCACAGGCCAGCAATGGCAGGGGGTAAATCCTCTGGTGGTCTCCACTGCACCGCTCTGGTCTGTGAAAGTGGAGCTCTGCACAGGGCAGAGGGGTCTTGGGAAGAGGTTTGGGAGCTCAGCAGCACTGCTGGATCCTGGGGGGCATCCCTGGTCCTCATCCCCCCATGCTCCCCTCCCATGCAGGCTGTGGCTGGGCTCTGCCCCCAGCCCTGGGGCTGATGAACCCTAAGGGCTGAGTCCTGGCACAGCCATGGGACATGAGGACATGTGGGGACGTGGGGACATGGGGAAGGTCTCCAGCAACTGCTGGTGCCAGTTACACATGTCCTGGGAGCACAAGAAATTGAGGTTTTACCCAGATGTGTCCGAAATCCTTGACTCAGGCGCTGGGAATGGAGGATGCTGTGAAGCTGTTGCTGACCAGCACTTTGTGTCCCCATCCATCCTCCATCACCTCTGCTGCCTTTTCAGTGCCCCCACCCCTCGGTCCGTGGTCCCCCTTGGTGGCAGCAGGTGACAGCAGCGTATTTACAACCGAGCTCGACGGAGCAAATTGCACTTTGTTGGCAAGAAGTGGTGGCGCTGGGCCCGTCACCAGGCCAGGGGGGACGTCATCCTGGGGCTGCGCTGGCTCTCGCCCACCTGCACATCGCTGAGCGCCCGCTGCGGGAGAGCAAAGAGCAGGGGCCGTGGAGGGGTCAGGGGGGTGTTTCGTAGAATCACAGAGTCATTGGGTTGGAAAAGACCTTTAGGATCAAGTCCAACCATAACCGACACTGACACCTACCCCTGGCTGGCTTTGCAAACCCCGACTCACCTCGAACTTGCTCATGAATTCTGCGAAAATGCCGAAGAACGCCTCGGAAGTCGTCATTTTGGAGTCCTCCCCAAAGAAGGACAGCACCTTGCCGAACTCCTCCATGGCCTTGTGCTGCAGGTCGTCCAGGGAGCGCATGGCGGGCTGCGCGCTCTCCAGGAAGGACTGAGGGAAACGGCTCATTAAGGGCAAACGGCCGGGATCTGGGGCTGGTACAGAGCAGAGCCTGCTTATCAAATCCTGGGCTGCATCGGGGGGCTAGGAAAGGGCCTGGTACCCTCAGCCAGCCCCAACAGCCCCTCGCTGTGATTTGGCAAGATCCAGAGTGCCATGGGGTTTCTGCCATGCACATGGACCCCTAGGGGGTGGTTGTAGGGCAGAGAGGTTCTCCTGCCCCTCTGCTCTGCCCTGCTCACACCACAGCTGCAATCTTGGGTCCAGTGCTGGGCCCTCAGCTCCAGAAGGACAGGAACTGCTTGAAAGAGTCCAGCAGGGCCACAAAGTGATGGAGGGAGTGGAGCATCTCCTGCTGAGGAGCGGCTGAGGGAGCTGGGGCTCTTGAGCTTGGAGCAGAGGAGACTGAGGGGTGCCCTCATTCCTGGGGATCCATTGGGAAAGGGCAGTGTCAGGAGGAAGGAGCCAGGCTCTGCTCTGGGATGGCCAATGCCAGGACAAGGGGCAATGGTCCCAAGCTGGAGCACAGGAGGTTCAAGCTGAAGCTGAGGCCAAACTTTGTGAGTGTGAGGGTTCTGGAGCATGGCCCAGGCTGCCCAGAGAGGTTGTGGAGTCTCCTTGTGTGCAGACACCCAAAGCCCTGGCCGTGTTCCTGTGTGACTGCTCTGGGGATCCTGCTCTGGCAGGGGTTGCACTGGATCAGCTTTCCAGGTCCCTTCCAACTCCTCACATTCTGTGATTCTGTGAAAAGCCGCTTCCCATGGCTAAGAGTGAGTGGAGGGTGGAGATTTCCACCACCAAGTGCTGGGATGGTGCTTCCTTAACCAGCTGTACCCAGCCCCAAGGAGGCATAAACACAACGGGATGGTTTTACCAGGGTGCAGTGAGGCGCGCTGGCGTCCTGCCCCTTTCACAGAAGGATACACTCATGACGATGGCAAACCTGTCCTCGGCGGTGGCGGGCATGCTGTGGCAGGCCATCTGGATGTCACTGACCGTGGTGTGCAGGTCCTTCAGGTCGGCCGTCAGCGTCCTCTGGTTCACTGCGGGAGGAGAGCGGGGTCAGCAGCGTCAGGGGGCTTGGGCCTGGCTTGGGTTCAGGCTGTTTACACAGCTCTGCACAGCCCATCCACGTTGTCCAGGGACAACCAGAGCCCACTGGGCTCCGGTGCCTGGGCAGCAGCCACTGATGGGTGTAGGGGACCATAGGACAAGGGTGATGTCCAGGCTGCCCTGGCATCTCATCATAGCACAGTGTTCAGGAGAGCCATGAGCTGACTTGGGTGGCAAAGGCTCAGCTCTTGACAGGCAAGGAAGAAGGTGAACGACAGCACATCGGGGGCTTGGGTTATGTGCTAGAGCTGCTGTGGGGCCCAAAATTGGCTATAAAGCAG